GAAACAGCTTGCCCTGCTTCAATTCAATTCAATTCAATTCAAAAAACTTTATTTGTCCCCGGGGGGCAATTCAAAATTTGCTTCCTCCAAATGTAATGAAAAACACCTGCTAGTGTGTCACAAACCTTAAGGCTCTCAGGCAATCAGTAAGATATCTTAAAGGTGAACTGTTTCTCCCTGTCTCTAATCTTTACTCCAAGCTAACTAGCTTAGCTGCCTTTGAGTATTCATCTTGACAGACATGAAAGTGGGAAAGTTCTGAACCGAAACAAAAAAAAGTGGTGAAGGCCTTTTTCAAACCCTCATACAACTCCTCATACAGAAGGTTATTAAAGAAGGTTAATAAACTTACAATAATGATTGAACCACAAATTTAATTTTGGCTAGCATTCAAAGTTAGCACTGAGATCATAAGGTCACTGTGGTTCACAGAATCACCCTCTATTTCCATTCAAGTCTGTGTAATGTGAGTGTGTCTGGGCAGGAGAGAGTGAGAGAGGGCAAGAGACGGTGAAAGTGAGAGTAAAGAAAAAAAGTGAGAGTGAGTTTTATTATTGCTAAAGACGTGTACAGTGAGGCGGCGGCTGGCATGGACACCCAGAACCTTAGCTACTGTCGCTGCCAGGCCCCAGCTGCTACGTGTGCTTAATCTTTACCACGTGCCCACAAAGTACACGCGACAGCCACAGGTATGTTCCCATCACCCGGAGCAACACCAATCACTGCCAGCAGCCTGTCAAAACCTTTCGGGTATCCCGTCAAGCTAATGAGATGTGACTGAGTTTGTGCTACCAGCGCTAAAGCGATTGTTCCTGCCATAGAGCGTCAACTGATGTATGGAGACTTTCCTTCAAGTCCCAAGCATCAATAAGGACATAAAACATGAGTGAGTGTGTGTCATACTGGTGTCTGCCTATACAGACTGTGAGTGTATACATATGTATGTGAGCTATGTGTGTCTGTATGGGTCCATTTATCTGTTTGTGGGTTTGGGTGTTCAGAACTGGTTTACCACAGTGGAAAAGATAATCATAAACCGGCTGATGGTGGAAATGTGTGCAGGTGGGCTGTGTGTTTGTGTGTGTGTGTGTGTGTGTGTGTGTGTGTGTGTGTGTGTGTGTGTGTGTGTGTGTGTGTGTGTGTGTGTGTCCCAGTGCTCCATGGAGTTTGTGGTAAATAAAATGTTGAGCTGTACAGTTTAGCGTAGACAACGCTGGATTAAAACTGTCACACAGCAGGCTGGTGCAACAAGGAAAAATGGTCTGCAATCATCAACTGGTGGAATCATGGCAACATTAAAAATGTTTTTCTTTAACAGTAATACTGTGGAAACAGCAATACAGAAAAAAATCCTGATTTCCTTATTGCTTACTCATCGAGTGTGTTTCCAAATCCAATTGTGGCCCCTCAAAATAATAACCCTTATCCTTTAAAATGTGATTTTTCATGTCGTAAACAATGACAATAAGAATAAAACACTAGTTGAAATTCCACATATGACTTTACCCAAGCTTTCACAGGATATTTTTTCAAAGTCAAAAAACCTTTATTAGTGGGAGTACATGAGGTCCAGTGGGTTAATCACACTCACATTGTTCCAAGTGGATGGAGCAATTAGTTTTGGGCAAAGTTTTCAACTGACATAATTTCAGCAATGCAAGGTTCAACATAAACAGAGAAAGGAATGAGAAAATAATTGTGGTCGACTGGTGTGTGTGGTGACTCGCTGCAGTCTTCATGTTGGATGTGATGTGCTTTTTCCAGGGTTTTGGATTTCTCATTTTATGTGAGGTACATGAACTTACCATGGCTTCATACATGGTGTTAGAGACTGACTGAGAGCAGCGTTCCCCATTCAACTTAAAATCACAAATAAAAAATACTATTTCATAAAGTGAGAGTTTTATTGAGGTGAAATGTTGTGGTCGGTAGAATTTGCTGTTAAATTCTTGACCTGGGGGTTTCTATGGTAACCTTACGTTCACTACAGTTATTGCAGGAAATTATGAAAAGTCTTGCAAAACTCGCTATGTGATATTATTTATTATTAAAAACATAAATGTGCTTCAAGGTTAAACAATTCTAATAGAGTAACACTGAATTTATTTTGACAATAATAGAATGGATACTTATTAAATGTGGCCGTCATGATTTGGCTTCAAAAGTTAGTTAATCTCTTCATTTGTCCATTTGTATTTACAATTATAAAAATGAATTGATGACTAACTGACAAATTGATCAGGAAAAAATACTACCAGATTTTTAAATTCAGAGAATCTGCTACTTTTTCCTGCCTTATAATTTATAAGTTTGATCTATTATATTATTCTGGCTTTAGACAACTAGACAAAAAAACTATGAATTTAAATACATAACTTGGTTTGTACAAACAACATATACATTATATTTTTCCTTTAATTTTAGGGACTTATTAATAAGTGAAGAAAAGTTCATTTAAATCATATTTTTTGGCTGAAACTCTAATCTTTTCTCTTTCTCTAAATGTCCTGTCTAGTAGTTTTGAATCAGACTTTATTCAGGCAAAACAGACCATTTAAAATACTCAATTCCTTCAGTCTAATATCACTGATTAAATTAGTGCCCTATAGATTTAAGGTGGAATCTGACAAAATATAACCCTTGTTCACCATCCAGCTTAATAAATATGAGTAAATATCCCTCTACTCTGTTCCAAGTAATTCCCTTCTAGCTCCGTCCAGAGAGATTTTAGGGACTAGGCTGTTTGCTTTTTCTCCTTCAGATGGCTTTAGCTCAGTTGGATGCCGGGCTAAGAGTCCAGCTCTATCAACTAGCGCCAATGTAAACACAGCAATTCCTTCCCAATTAGAAACGCTAAATGCATTGGACTCGGTGCACTAGCAGGGCCGGTCTGTGCAATTAATGCAGCCTTGGTCTCCACGGGCTGCTTCGGATGGCTGGGATGGTTAAGATGTATATGGTTTCAGTTCAAGGCTGGGCAGGGGAAGTCTGATTGGGCAGGTTGGACTCATCATGGAAGTATAAACATTAGGTTGGATGGGCGCTCGGCGGTTGGGGTTTTCTTTGGGTCAGTCGTGCTGGGTAGCTCCACAGCAGGCTGGGGAGATATGTGTGGTAGGGAGGTCAATCAGAGTGGGAGATTAGGGGAAGAGGAAGCATTTCAGCTGTGCAAAGTCTTTGGCTTCAACATTAAAACTGAGGGAGATGATGACCAAAACAGTTGTACTGGGCCCATTTTTTGGCTTTTGACTTCAGGCAAGTCTGACAAAAGTTACCATGTCATTTATCTTCGAAAAATAAAAGCTCCTGTGAGGAACTTTTGGATTTTTATTTTTTATTTTGGTGCCCCCTGTGGACCAAGTAGCACCTTTTCTCTCTTCCTGATTTTGCTCAGGACACGTGTAATACGTCTTTTTTTTTTTTTTTTTTTAAATCCTGCTGTCTTCAAAGTCAAATGTATCACTCACTGTGAATCTTCAACAAAAATTCTACAGCATGCTGTTAATCACTTTGTCGGACACCTACCCAGCGACAGCAGTGTCAGGCGTTAAAAAATATCTACATACACACAAATAATCAGAAATAATCCATCTTGTCACTGAAGGCCTAATTTGCCTCTGTATGTCATAAAAAATGAATTAGTGTTATTCTCAGTCTGTTCATAACCAGATAAAAACTCCTCACAGGGGCTTTAAAAGTTCTTTAAATCCCTATCTGATCCTATCCTGATATTCTTCATGCCTTAACTATTCTTTATTTGAAATCTTTCATCTATCAGATGTATAAGGTAAAAGCCAGGATAAATCTAGAAATATTCAATAAATCAAAGAAAACTTGCTTGACCTGGATCAGTGGTTTCTGAAAACAACAAAACCTGCTAGACAAGGGCAGACGATCATTGTTGTAGTCTCCTTTTGTCCAATTGCCATTGTGCATTGTGTGTTCCTGAGGTGTTGGTTTGCACTATCAGCCTGAGGCGCTCCACTCTCTCACAAATAGTTTGCTAACAGAGCTTTCACTCCATTGCCTCTAATGAAAATCCATACTAAACATTTAGCTCTGTGTGAGAAAGGGGGGAAATTCAATAAGACACATAACACAATTTGTAAATTACAGGAAGAACCAATCGAACCAACAGGCAAGATGGAGAAATGTTTTTTGCTTATATCTCTTCATTTTGCAACAATTTAAACGCCTATAACATCTGCCTGTCTGTGGTGAGTGTAAAGAGGTTGAAATCTACTTTTCTCAGCCAAAATGAAGTCCAATGCTGTGTTTTTATCCAGTTTTGTTTCCCACACAGATTATCAGTCATGCCGCCAGAGATGTCTCCACTGAGGTATTCCCCAAACTAATGGTCGCTCTTGGACAGCACCGTCGATAGTAAACTAATCTGCAGCCTTCAAGGCACAGGAAACAGATCTAATTAGCACTCATTGAACTATCTTCTAAGGAAACTTTCATCTTTAGACCACTCTTACAACAGGCCTGAAAGCCAGACTAATGTCACTTACTAGTTCTAGGTTCAATGGCTGATGGAGAAATGTCTACTAGATGGATGGGCTGTAAGTCAGTATGGAGTCAGTCTCGTAAAGTGTTTTTTCACGAGTACACGCACGGCTAAAGCAGCCAGTGCATCAGAACCAAAGAAAAATGCTGGTGAAAACCTAAATCCCAAATATTGACAAAGTTATAAATAAAAGTCAGGCACATTCTCTGTATTATATAACCTTGTGAAGTAGGTTTGATTAATCTTCTATATTTTTGTTAAAATTTAAAATTGTGTTCTTTTAATATGTCTCTGTTGTGTTTCAATCCTTTTGCGATCTCCCCCTCCTTGCTGTTTTACGATAATAAACTAGTACCCTTACATGTGGAGTGATGCTTCCACACCGTGGTTGAAGCTTCAAAATACACCTGAAGAGATTCAAGCGTTTGAGCCACGAGGGGGCGTCCTTAAATTAAATCGAACATCCCGCGAGCTTTGCCGTTCTCTCGTTGTTTGTTTACAAGCGAATCACTTCCTGCCCGCCAGCAGCTTTGTCCAGAGTACGCGAACTGTGTTGTTGTTTTAACTAAGAACACGCTTCAAGATGGGATGTGATGGAGGCACGATTCCCAAAAGACACGAATTGGTAAAAGGACCCAAAAAAGTCGAAAAGGTGCGTGTTGTCTTCCTTTTTTAAACGCAGCAACGTGAGCGATGTTGTCGAAAGCGGATGCTAGGTTGCTAATGATTAGCTGTCCTTAAAAGTACAGAGTTACACACTCAAATACTTTAAGCTGTGTCAAAATTGTGAGACGCTTTTTTTTTTTCTTGTGAGGCATTGTGTACAATTATTTAACAGCTAGCTCTGGTTAGTTAGTTTTCCATAAAAAAACACTTAACGCTAATGTGACATAAATAATAAACTATAATGGGTATGCATGTTGTGTTGTCTTACCCTCTTCATGTGTCTAGGTTGATAAAAATGCAGAGTTGGCTGCCAGATGGAAATACTGTGCCCTGAGCCAGGAGAAACTCAAACGTCCCATCGTTTCCTGTGAACTGGGAAGGTGAGACTTGCCTTTCCGATGATTTCTGATGTTTCTGAGTTATCGGATATACATTGTATTAGTTGATAGATGGTCTGCGTAGGTACAGTTCTGCAGACCTGAGGACTTGTTGTGATACCGAGTTTTGTATATAATTCTGGGTAAAAAAAAACAAAACAAGTCTCATGGTGATCTTATGATGTCCATTCAGGCTCTTCAATAAAGATGCTGTCATTGAATACCTTCTGGATAAGACTGCTGAGAGACCAAATGTTGAGGCGGTAGCCCATATCCGTGGGATCAAGGTAAGGTTTTGCTAGTTGTTGACACTTGTTTTGTATTTATCTGTAGGTTCGTGTGTAGTTGTTCTCATGTCTGTGCGTCTACCCTCTCTGCAGGATATAAAAGAGCTGAACTTGACTGATAACCCGGTGTGGGAGGGAGAGAGAAGAAACACTAAAGGGGACAGATATGAGGACGTCCACTGTGGCATGTTCATTTGCCCTGTTGTAGGACTGGAGATGAATGGCAAGCACAGGTAACTTAAACATGCAAAGAGTCTACAACTAAAATGTAATATAGAGGGAATGTAAGGTTTTCTGTATAACTGCAAATGTTTTCCAGTTTACGATCAAAATGACCACCAAGCTTTCTGTACTTAATTTAGACTTTATCTACTAGTAAGGAGACCTTATTTTAGCCTTTAATTATCAATATGTATTAGTCTACTATGTGCCCTGTGGTGTGTTACAATATGACATCAGACTGTAACCAAGCATAACAGGTTGCTGAATATTAAGTTAATAATACGCTATCAAGATGCATTGTGATAGGGTAATGATGATGACCATCTACCGGTAAATGCGGTAATGTAATTCTTCTTCCATTCTGAATTATTTTTTTGCAAATATTATTTGAACACTGAAGTCTGCTCCCACGTCCGCACACTCACACACACAGGGTTGGGTTGAGGCAGACGGACAGGCGCCTTTCTCATTATTGTAACGATTTTAGTGGAGGCTAAAATGTACTTGAAAAGCCAGTCGCAACTTGTTAGTCAAAATATCTCTCAAGAATAAACAACAGGCACTTGTGGAAAGCCGTGATATATGTCAGATATGATATTAACTCCAGCATTCTGGTATGAATCTTTATTGAGCAAGAAATGATCAAAAGGTTGAATGGATGCTTTTGATAATACTTACCCCATTGTTACCATTTTCAGATTTATTTACCTGCAATCCTGCGGCTGCGTCTTTTCTGACAGAGCCATGAAGGAGGTTAAGACCGAAATCTGCCACAAGGTAAGAGACATTGCATATAATTTTAGATTATTATTGTCCTAGTCAACCTTATGCTATAAACCAATCATTTGCTGTGCCATTTGGTTACTTCTCCTAATAGTTTTTCATTTTTCCTTTATCAAACTGGTCTCTGAATATTTTGCAGAGGTTTTTTTTTTTTTTTGCAGAGCCTTGATATCCTCATCCATCCTTTATCTTTACCGCTTTATCACATGCGGGGCTGGAGCTGTGCCTGCTGTCATTGTGAGAGAAGCAGGGTACACGTGATTGGTCATCAGTCAGTTACAGGGCTAAAACAGCCCCCTGTCTCGATGTTCATGTCTATAATTCACTAGCTGTCATGTGTTATTGAGGCACAAACAGTTGCTCATATAGACAAGACAAATGTTGAAAACACAAGTCAGATTATAAAAAGCACAAAACAGTTTATATTAGTTCAATAATGTCAGCTTTCCAGTAAGGTTATGAAATATTTCTAAACTGTTGGCATCAATACACTTCACTGTTCCTCTTTTAAGCGCTGTTCTGGCCGTGACTCAAATTGAGCCACGTGGGATTCTCACAGAAGCATGCCTGTGAACCAGTTTAGGTCCTGACCTGTTAGTTTTAAGTAACTTAAAAGCTATTTCTGGTTTTTCTCATTTAAGACAATATAAGGGAGAACACTGGAGCAGATGGTATGTAGTCGCTGATTTTGTTTCTGTGGACATGAAAGCATCTTGGCACAGATCAGTTGTTTGACTTTGCCAGAGAAGTTACAGGGCTTTTGTGGGAAAGTCTCTCTTTCTTGGAAAGCTTCTGCTTTGATAGACTTATAAGGAAATACAAATTTTTCCCAAACTGCCTGCAGATATTCCCTTGTGTGTTGGTGCTGTAAGTGGTCTGAGTACTCTCTCATATTTGATAAACTGATGGATGTAAACTTCCACTTGACTAGTTGGCAGAGGCATAAACATTGGTGGTTTATTCTAGTGTCATTGTCTTTATTTATGCAATTTCATTAAAGGGCATTGACATTATTAAGTAAAACAATACAAAATGTTAACAAAGTTAAACAACATTAAATACATGTTCAGTTGGTTATGTTATACCTAGCGTAGTGTAATAGGTTCAACTATTAGTTTGTTTATTGGGAATCTTCATTCTTTAGCTTTAACTGGATTGCGTAAGTCTTAGTAGCCTACACAGTCTTGCACAGCCATCTTACAGTTTTATAATGGACAAACACATCTTTTAACAATAACCTGTCAGCAGGAATCATCCCGCTGCTCTCAGTGCAGTTTTTTTCCTATCTCACACTTTACAACAGCCACTGATCGAGTGCAAATAATCTGATTTGTCTGTTGCGAGCCATTTGTTTATGATCCCAACATCGTCTTCATGCTCCAGCACTGCTGTTGTAATATTCCGTGCTTGAGTTGCTCTGTGTGGTAAGCAGCCATGATGGCTCTATGGGAACAGTTGCCTGGTTTAACACCTTGTTCCTGTGCCACTTCTCCAGGCAGTCCAGAGCCTCGGGAAACGTTTTGCTCTCAAACTTATTGGCAAACATGCTTTTCTTGTTGATGATCCACGACAGATCGTCCACTCCAAAGACACAGATGTCTCGTGCATAACGTCCTGGAAAACAGTCACATTTTGCTCTTAGTTTTGAACACAAAATATCAGGCTGAAGTCTTCAGAAGTAGAAAAAAAAAAGATTCACAATAGTCTCTCTGTTTGTCAGATGGTTTGTGTTCTGTTGCAGTAATGTTGAGTTACTCAGTATTTATTTTGAATGTTACAAAAAGGGACTTGTTTTTACCTTAACATGCAACAGTTTTACAAAACACAGATTAAACGTAAGAGTACATCATTGTTTTTACCTTAACCTGCAAAGGTCTTACAAAGGACAGATTAAACGTAAGAGTACATCAAATCAGATAAATTCTTAAATCCATCTTCTTGTCATCTGTTGTTGAGTAAATTATGGCTTAGTCTGTAATTTGTCCTGCAGTCTGGAAACTATGTAGGACAAAGTTTAAGTAAAGACCATTTTTAGTCCATAAAACATGAATGGAGTATGAGAGAGGTATACCAATATCATCAGGACTCATTTCTGTATATATAGAAGTGAATCTGGTCACCATAATGTAATGTATTTAAAAATAACGTAAGTTTTATAGGAGTTACGAGAAACTAGCAAGAAAAAGACTAGTTGAGATTAAGCTGGACCTTAGATAACTCCGGTGGTTCACAAGTTAAACAGGTGCTCATTATTGTACACCCTGTTGTGTGCGGTACCTTTGCAGCCATTGTGTGTCCTTCCCTCTTGATCCCTCCACTTGATTGCTCGGATGTTTCCTGCCCAACCTCCGTCTATGTGGCTGCCTGGAGCGTCTTCAAACACATAACCAAACAAAGCAAGGCATGATTATACAATCTTATTGAATTATAAAGATATGCTAAGGCCTGTTTGGGAGTTTATCAGCCACTGTGTGGGAGTGATTCCTGGATGCTTCTCATAGAAAAGATTAGGGAGGGGGCTGAGTGTGTGCTACTCTGTATAAGAGATGGGGACGTTAACCAGACCTGCATTTGCCAAACCAGCCCGAAAGTCCTGAAGCTTTGGGCCTTTATTCGATACATCTGAATCATATCGTTTTTGAGATAGTTCCAGTCATGCATTCATTTGTGCCTGTGTCAAAGTAAAAGTTCAAATGTGGAACAGTCTTAGCCACATTCACATGACCAGTTGAACTTTCCTTCTGCTTTTATGGAAAGTGCAAAGCTACAAAAATGTAGCCCTATAAAATTGATGAAACCAAGAAGTAAACAAATCAGTTCCCTAAAACATGCATCATTTAGCCTTATTTCAAGTTAGAAATGCAAAACAATCAAGAAATTACATGTATAAAAAGCCCCCAAAAGTATATATTTACATGTAGGGAGGGAAGGGAAAGCATCCTAAACATTTATTGTGTTGCTATCAGATAAACATCCTTATTTTAGACACAATATCACATCTTTCTTTTTTTTGTGCAGTAAAAGAGCTTCGACCTCCATTGAGACAAGTTTTGTCATGCTTCTGTGATATGAGGATCCACAAGTGCAACCTCAATATACGTCTCGACATATCTGGAAATGTACAAGACTCAAATTAGCTTGATATGATTGTCTGTTTTATGGTATTTAATGGGTTCTTTCTCTACACCCTTCCATGCAAACAGGCAATTGTTTTTCTCATAATCCTTCTACAAACAAAAGCCACATAAAAACATACCAACCTTGGGAGCAGTAATAATTAAACATTTCATACCAGGATGTGTGCTACAGAGCAGCTGCTTTAGTAGAAATTTTCTTTATGTCTGTTCCTATTTGAATTGGCAGTTTTACCTTTGATGTGATTGAGCGTCACCCAGTAGTGCTCGTCTGGACTGAACGTGTCTTTGGACCACTCCAAGAAGTCTTTGGCTATCGGGCTTTTCAGAACAAAGTCTACAAACGCCCTTGTGAGGGCATAGTAGGCTGTTCCAAAATAAATCTGCAGCCTGTGTGGAGGAGGACCTTTCTTAAAACTCTGACCTTTCCGTACTACATGTGACCCCGTGATCTCCCGGTGCTGGAGCTGCGTCCTGTGTCTCATAGACATCGGCTGCTTCACCCCTGGCGTCATGTTTATGTCCCTCCACTCTTTGCTCTGCATGTACCGCACCAGCTCCAGGTTACTCATTATAGGAAAATCCTGTCCACACAGATTCACCACCTTTCTCCAGCCTATCTTGGACTTTGCTAGATCTGTCATGCAGTTCAAATCTGCTTGCAGGCGGGAAAACCCAGCGTAGGTCACTGTCTCGCTGCGGCTTGAGAGGAATGCGTTTTTAAAGCAGCTGACTAGTCTCCGTACCGCTTCCTGGTACTCCAGCGGAGCCTTAGCATCCACATGGATGCAGTAGACATTTTGGGGCATGTATATAGCCCGCAACAGGCGCACAAGAAGCCCCAGCTCCTTGTGTACAGTCAAAATAAAGGCTAAAGGATAGTCCACCTCCTCATGGCTCAGAGGTTTTGTGATGAAGTGTAAGTGTCTGGTCAGATCAGAACACTGCAGGCCACTGTTAAGAATCAACTGTTCAGCCTGTAGATAGAAAGAACAAACATTATTAAAACCCATGTCATGGAAACATAGGGAAAAAAAGCATCATTACCCACATTTTCAGTAAGGTTTTTTCAGATATTCCTCACACAAGTATTCTGTGATAGTCGTTATCCCTTGTGTATTGGTTGTGTTTTAAAGCACCATCAAGGGACATGCATTGCAAATTAGGTTAGGCTGTGAAATGCTGCATTGTGTGGTATCGGTTTACATACCTGTGCCTGTCGCTAAACAAATACAAATTTGAATAAGTGGATGCTTTGTTCTGTACTGATGTAAGCCATTCATTTTTAGCTTAAAGCTGTCAAACAAAACATGAACAAATATATGACATAAAATTTGATCCAGAAAAACCGGCCAGGTCATTGCTGAGAAAAAAACTGTCCAGGGTGATGGGTCTATGCCCACTGCAATGTTTAACTTAGATTTTGACACTAAAAAGTGAGTGAAACATACTTGGCTGTCGTGTCGGTGCCACTTAAATCCTCTGTCCAAGCCAGGCAGAAAAGCTTTAAATTCACCGGAGAGGGCCCTGAAACTTGCGGTCTCCAGAGGTTTGGGCTCTGTCGGCGCCCTAGTCCTCAAGTAAATAACTGAACAGATAATAATACTCATCCCCAGACACAACAGGAAGCTGCATTTGGTCCCTTCAATCTGGCACATAATAGCCCAGCTTTACTGTTTCTAGGCTGCTGCTCCACCACAGATTAAAAAAAAAAAAAAAAAAACCCTGCAAAGAAAAACAAAAAAACACCCAGATCAGTTAAAAAAAAATAAAAAAGGCAGCACATTTCAAATTCATGGTTCAGGAGGACAAAACACTCAATCATTGCACTAGTTTATTTGGCTCACATCACTATAAACAAAGCCTTGCACTTTTGGGCACAAGGCCTTCTTCAGAGTTAAACTGAATGAACAAGTTGAATTCAACCCAGATCAGTTATTTTGAGTCGTGTCCCGAGGAATATTAAATAGGGTTAAAAATGTAGGTTAGCACTAATTGATAAAGTCAGTTTTTAGCTCAAGAAATATAGTTTAGTGTCATATTTCTGGCCTATTAAGCAGAAAATAGACACATAACCTGCAAGACATATTCTCATATATATATTTATTAAGTTAGAATACCTGAAGTATATTGGAATGAATGTGATATTAATTTATCAAAATGTATTATAAGCTGTTCTTCCTTTTTTTTTGGCTTAGGGTTAGGGTTAGTCGAGGATAGTCCTCGAGGCTGGCAGCCCTGGGCGGACTCAGACCCCATGGCACTATGCCACATGTTACGCCCCACTCTCTCACCCATGTTTCCTTCTCTATCCACTGTCCTTTCCTCAGATCCTTGGATTTTTTTTTTTTAAATCCTGGCTATAACATGGGATAGAATGGAAGAGGTTTTGAAATGACCAGCAAGTTGGTTAAAAATAAGTTGGACAATACAAAATATAAACCTTAGAAATATACAGTATATTGAAAAATGATCATGTGGGAATAACAGACAACTTCTGGTTATAGCCTCTGTTTCATAAAAATAAGAAATGATCTATAACAGTTGATAAACAATGTAGAACAGGCTGCTATGGGTGAAAAGAAACCACTTTACTGTAACAGATGGCAACTTCAAGCATTCATGCAAGCAGTTGAATCATCAATTGAAACAGAGACTCACTGAACAAGCCTTGACAGAGGATCTAAAAATTCAGGAATTCTACAACAGCTGCTAGTGCAAAGTTCATTAGATAGCATTAAGTAGATAAACACAATTTTTAGTGAGGTATGAGGCGTGCCAAAACGTTCAAACTGAAGAAGAGTTAAGAGGAGGGCAATACCCTGATAAGGAGGATCTGCCTTCACTTACACTTTGACGTCTGCTGATGGCTGGGTTTGTTTCGTTTTGGTTTTTATTAATTTCCTTCTTTATGTGGTTTGAAAGGCTGTAAAAATGATTTGCCATTGAGATAAATATAGTTATCTTAATTGAATCGGAGTCTAAAATCTGAAGAATAATACCCTGCACACATTGGTCTACTGTTTAAACACATAATGTTATTTTCCAATAATATTGATCCTTTGAACCTCCGTTAGGTCAGAGGAAAATTTGTGGTCCTTTTGATATTGACATACATGAACAAATATACCAAATCGATAGTCTTCTTTCTGACTGTTTGCTCGTGTAAGGCAATCTCAGGACATGCAAACAAATAGTTTCTTTCAGGTTCTGTACACCAGTTTATAACAGTGGCTGTCACAGTTTGTATTTAGGCACGTTACATTTGTGAGCATTGAGACCGAGATACAGTTCTCATTTACCTATATTCTATGCTGCCATACGAAAGATTTAAAACTGAGCTAACTATGAAGTTCTCTGTTGTGAGAAGAATAAAGGATTATCTTATTTTATCTTAAAGAGAAATATACATACAGTACGTTATCGCCAGCTCCCACCTCTGAAGGCTTTTAATCCACTGTCAGTGAAACCCACTGCTGTAAAAACCCTGTTGCTCCACAGATACAAATTTCCATAGAAGAAGGGTTGCTATGGAAATGTATATTTGTCTAACCTCCTGTCTCAAACACACACCTTCCTTCTTTCACACCAAGATTGACAGATAAAACTACTTGGAACATGTAAACCAGGAAAAGCTTATTGGTTTTGCATGTAGTTTGTTTCTTGTTTTTTTTGTTTGCTCTGACAAAATTAAAGGCAAGTATTCCACATCTCTCACATATGTTGTGATGGTTAATGTTGTCTTTGTTGTCGTGTATACTTTCTGATGCGACGTGTTTCAAAAAGATACAAGTTATTTAAACGATTGGTAGTATAAAAAAGCACTTGTTTAATTGAGACAGCAGGAGTTTGCTTGCAATTGTTGGTAATTAAAAACCAAAGATGACTCAATATTGGGTGCCTAGGACTTCTATTTTTGTAGCAGTGGTATCCATATTATATGATATGATCATATAGTATCATTGTAATTGTTAAACTCTGGTAATGGTTAAACTCTGGTAATGGTTAAACTCTGGTAATGGTTAAACTTTGGTATTTATAGTCGATATAATGTAATTATTTACGTGCTAATATCAGTGTAACACAGAAACGCACACAGATAAAGTAAAGACGAGCATGGCAAAGACAGTACCAGGTTTGTCGATTACCTTGGAGGTAGTTCAGTCTGTAGTCCTTACGAGGAAGAAGTAAAGCATTATGCAGAAGTGCCAGTTCATTTTAATAAACGGCAACTCCGAGCTCCTTACTACAATCCATCCAGACTCCAGAGGTGGGCACGAGTTGTTTGCATCTATACGCCATCATCACCAGCAACAACAAGGGGCAAGAGCTGAGAAGTTTCTGTTATCCTCGATGTTGCCGCTATATCTGGTTATTTCATCGTCGTTTCCTTGTGATGTAGAATGCTGTGCTGTCTGAGACCTTGTCAGGATGAGACAGAGTGCTCTGCGTATGCTTCTTTTCCCCTGTACATGGATTAATTAAATGCTGATGAAGTCGCCCCCACCCCTAAACATCCCCCATGAGACAAGGTCTGTCCCTGCCTGGTTACCAGCAGTAACACCCAGGCGTACACCTGACACACAGATACACAATTCCACCTACCTCTCACACACACACACACACACACACACACACACACACACACACACACACACACACACACACACACACACACACACACACACACACACACACACACACACACACACACACACACACACACTCACTCACTCCCTAAGGTTTTTTCCACTCTCCTCCCACATACAGTTTCCTACTCACTGGTGTTTTGCATCGTTCCTTTTTTGCTGTCTCTCTTTCCATAATTTCTCTCGTATTTGGACCCTCAAATGGGTTAAAATCCAGTTTGTTTTGCCTAGTTTGAGGCACGCATTTTGGCCATTTTTTTTCTGTCGTGTTTCTTGACAAGAATCCGGTGTAGTGCTGAAGCAGGGTTGCCTGCTAGCTGATGTGCTGATAAGATGCTCTGCTCACCAGATCTGTGGTAATAGCGGCAGCAGCAGCAGCAGCAGCAGCAGCAGAGTGACGGTCGGAGTTTGTTTGCTGCTTGGTCAGCTTCTGAGATTATCCCTCTTGTGTTGAACAGAGCACATGGCCGGAGTTCACACCCACTGAGTCTGCATTACGGCAACACAATAGACCCTCTGCTGGTTACTCAGGGGTTTAATATCTGTGCTTTTGTGTGGGTGTGTTTTTCCTTTTTTTTAATTTGTGGCATTCATGTGACTGTAGTGTACTTCTTTTTTTATAATAACACATTTATGTAATCCAGCCTTACAACTATGCTTAATTATTTATTTTTCAGAGAATGTGTTTTCCACTGAGTTTCATACACAAGCCCCCCTCCGTCATCATGGTTTTCTGTCAGAGTCAACAGAGTAAAAGTGAAGTACTTGACATCATTTGGATGTTCACCAAGTTCCTTAGAAATGACATGGTTATGTATTTATTTTCACCATAAAAAAACAACAACTACTCATTTGCATATGGAATGGCTTGATTCATTCTGACGCAACTGAGGTCCTTTGGAGTGTGCAGGACTCTGTTACGGACTTTTTATGACACTGTGGTGGCGTCTGCACTTTTCTATGCAGTGGTCTGCTGGGGAGGAGGGAGCACAGAGAGAGACAGAAAGAGACTAAACAGACTGGTCAGGAGGGCCAGTTCTGTCTTGGACTGTCCTCTGGACTCTGTAGAGGAGGTGGGTGAGAGGAGGATGTTAGTGAAGCTGACATCCATCATGGACAACCCCTCTCACCCCCTACATGACACTGTGGGGGCCCTGAGCAGCTCCTTCAGCAGCAGACTGAGACACCCACCCTGCAAGACAGAGCGCTACCACAGGTCGTTCATCCCATCTGCCATCAGCCTGTTTAATCAGACTCTTTAACAGCATCCCCACCTCATGCTACACACTGTGTGTTTTTAATATTAATAAGTCTTTCCACAAGTGGAAGTGTACATACCTGGTATTATTCTATTATTGTATTTGTTTCTCCCTTTATTTAACTGATGTACATATGTCGGATTTTTCACTTCTTGTTATTTTTAATAATTATATTCCTGTTTCCTGTTTTCTTGAGCTGTTGTAATTAAAAAATTTCCCCCATGGGGATCAATAAAGTTTATCATTATCTTTATTTTACTATTCGCTATTTCAGTCTAATCCTAGCCGCAGATAACCTCACAAACCATTTGAAAAAAATGTCATTGAGTTGGAAAGGCAAAACAGTGCTTTGCAAGTCAAAGTAGGACCACGTCTCCTCACCTGTTGTGCCCCCTCAAACCTTGCCTTTATTATTTTTACTGAATCAGCGGTGATGTCATACACTTCTGTGCGTTTAAATAGCCTGTTGTGGTAACGCATCCAGAGTGGTGTTGGTGTGATTTTAGGTAAAAAGGAGAAATCATTCTTTGAATTAATTTGATGTTCCTCTCAGTCACATACTCTTAAGTATAAGAACTGATCACAGGACTGCTTATTGTTGGGCACCTAGCAAAAGCAAAAAAGGCCATTCAAGCTAAATAAAGCACACAATTTGAAAGCAAATTACGAAAGTCTTGAACATAGAAGATGCAAGATGACATCATCATTTTAAGATATTGTTAACATGTTCTCACGAGTTGAACTCATCATATTTGACACTTGACTAAAGCATTCATTCTGTACAAGGTGGGGCAATGACTTCATCATTGTATATCACAATATAAAACAATCACATGAACATTTAAAGGGAGGAACTGATGATGGTCATTAAATTCAACATTGTTACACTATTTGTATTGACTTTACACTGGAAAAACTTCATATAGTCAACATTTTTGTTGTTGAGTTTAGAGTCAGGACACATTCAATAAAACAATAAATCCGATTATACAGCCCTATTATTACGCTGTTACTCCAGTAACAGTTAGTGATTAAAGACACTGAATTATCATACAGTCCCAATCTCTGACTTACAGAGTTGTTTAAATGCTGCATGAGCTGTTTATTTTCTTCCTTTAATATGAACTGCCTTTACATTTGTTGAAAAAGTTTGTCTTCAGTGTGAGACAGCATCTCGTACCTTTTGTGTTTTAGTGTGGGGACCCGTTTAAGGATGAGGATGTTGTGGTTCTTAACGGCACTAAGGAGGAAGTGGAGAAATTGACCGAGAAGATGGCAGAGAGGCGGAGCAAAGCCAAAACTAAGGTGGGTTTTAAATTCAACCAGAATTACAGCTAATGTTCAATGATGAGCTTTTAGAGTGGGCAAATCAATTAAGAATTGTTTTATTTGGTTTTGAGAGGGATTTGTAGTTTATTTATTTAATAAGAGCCAAATGCATTTGATGATTCATCAGAGTTGATTGACAAAAGGTAAACTCTTCTCTTCCTTATTCAGAAATCAAAGAAGAGCAAAGCTGCTGAAACTGTGTCTACAGCGTCAGAAACTAAAGGTTTGTGTTACCCCCTTTTGGCATTCTGAAGCTTATACAGACTACTCATGAACACATTTATACATTATCTGTACTCCCATAGCCTTTGTCCCCATTACATGATTTCCAATTTGAAGTGATGTGTCATATCTGGCATTCTAAACTGCAGTGGTCATACTCACCGACCATAGGCTCGCTGTGTGAATTTGTTAAAACTCCCATGCTAGTTGTTGAAATTTGTAAACGTTATTGGTCATCATTTTGTCATTGAAAAAAAATAGCAAATCTATCATGAAGTGACAGATTATTACATATTAGTCACAGAGTTCTGTATGTCTCTGTCGTATTTAATAAAGTCCCTATAAATATGAGTGTATGAATGTGTACAACTCCTATCCTAAATTAATGTTCTTATGAGTCTCTTGAATGCAGAGACTGGTCATCAACAACAAAAACAACAACAACAAAGATCATTTATGCTCTCAATTTTATTGACAGATTATTTTATTCTAGGCCTGAGAGGTATACTGGAATGAGTACTGGCACCAGTATTAGACTTTCCGGCTACATGGATTTTTGCGATATCGTAATCGGCGGTTTAAATACACATGTTTGGTTTTAGTGCACACACAAGGTAATGTCGACTTAACCTACTGACCAAAGTGGCGGGTAATTAAAAGTAGCGTTAAATTGTGATTTTCTCAGATTGAGTCCCCTGGTGTCCTCTGCTTGTTTCTATCTGACACTCAGATCCACCGGTATTGCACGTTCACTGACCAAAGGGCACCGCCTCCTCCTCGTGTCAGAGCGGGTGTCAGTGTTTGCAGTAAAAGTAAATTGTGACACAAGCAATCAAGTAATATCCTCTCCCAAAAAAACGAAGTATTTATCTTCATTGTACGTTATAAAAAGAATGAAAAAAAAAAAAAGTGCCAGCAAATAACAGCAACACCTAAGTAGGTGTGCTCCCTTGGAGCCAGCTCATTCTGTCTGTCTGAGGTTGTAACGTAGGCTATATACTGGAATGGATCTAACGCACTGAAATTAGTTAGGTTTCCCATCCCACAATTTTTGTTTGACGGTAGAGGGGGGGGGGGGTCGTAGTGCAAGAATATGTCTTCTGATACGCGATCCCTTTTAATACTGTAATATCAACTATAAAAGCTTAATTTCTGTCTTATGGTTTTTCTCTTTATTGTATAAATTTGAAAAATATATTTCACCATTAGATCCTGACTAACCTTGCCGCCATACCTTGATCATTCATGATTATTTATCATTAATATTACATTAATAAACAACTGTTTTGCCTCTTAATTAAAAGGACAAGGCCATAGAGCAAGTTAAAGAAGCTGAATACCGCATACACCATATATGTTTTGTCTTTTAAATCATTTGCAAGGTTTGTATGTTGATGTACACCTGATGTAACCCTAACCCCTGTCCGCTGAAGCAACACGTACTGTGGCCATTGTCTCGTAGCTGGAATGTGGAGAAAAACAAACTTCTGTAGCGGCAGAAGTAAACCAATACAGTGTCTGTATATTTTTCATCAAGGAGTGGCTCTGTTGGCTTTTTTTTTTTTTTAGCCCAGATGCTGGAGAGGCAGAGTTAAAAGCAGCCTGTCATAGTGCCAAAACCAATCTAAAATCCATTTATCCATTGGCAATTTGGCATGAATTATTCAATTGAGAGCACAACTTAATAATTTAAGGGTTTGCTTTAGATTCCCTGTCCTCCATGAAACCACCGAGGCTCCATATGCACAAAAGGCTAAAACATTCAAAGTCTATAGATAGTGATGTTGAAACAGGTAGAGTGATGTAACAATGTGCTTACAAAGCTTAGATCAGAGACTTCCTCTGTTCTGTGTCCTCAGAGAACCTTGGCGTGGTTTCCTGTTGATTTTTTTTAGAACAGGATGGTGCCCTCGGCTCAGAAGTGAAGAAGAAGGGTGTAGGCTCAGAAACACTTGATGTAATAAATGATACGCTAAGATATCAGATAAAACATTGGTATATGGGTAAATATGACAAACTAGTATCTCCATGTAAATGAACAGGGTGTATTTAAAAAAACACAGTAAAAAGCCATAAATAAAATTAAAAAAATATTTCAATGTGAATGAGAAACATTCAGTGCATTTCCTTGTCATCATATACCCAGGCCGTTTGTGGTGAATAAATACAATAACGATTTAAACTATTTAAACATTATCCATGTGTACATCTACTAAAATAGAAATCATATCAAGTGTTTACTGTTAATAATAAAACAAAGAAAAAGGAAGTCCTCTTTCTAAATCAAACTGTCTGACTTTTGTTTCCCTCCAGCCGATGAAACCCAATCTACACCAGAGGAGGCAGCAGGAGGAAGCTCAGTACAGAACGGAGGTGAAAACAGCCAGCCAGGTAGGTAATAGGGGTGCAGAAATGCTAAATTTTCTCTAATCGATTACTGTTCCTTGAGCACTCGAGTAATTGTTTTGTAGTTCTTTTTTTTTTCTGTGATTCTTTTGCCCCACGGGAGGCCCCGCCCCCAACTATGACGCGATGCCGACTGTATCTATTGATTCATTTGAATCTTCGGGGTTTTAATAATTGTTAGTAATAGGCCTTTGTATTAATGTTTATTTTCTTACTTCAACAGACAGCAAACCTCAAATAAAAATTCACACAGACGCATCTTGATTACAACACTTGATTATAATTAGAGCAGTGAGTGTGGCGAGCGGACGTGCAGACATCAATGCGCACTCATCACACGTTGAAGCTGTTTTGACAGCAACATTTTGTTGACAAAGACAAAGACTCAATCTCGCTCGTCCGTCCGCTATGAGCTATTTCTCCCTATAAGGTTTTTCCTTTTGGTAGTTATTAAATTATTTTTAAATAATCATCTAAAATTCCAAACTATAGGAAAACATCGAGTGATGCTGCTCTGTCCTGGATGATCAAACGTCATTGGGTTGGCGAAGTAAGGCGGTGATCGCAAAGTGAAAGTCCTTCTTTTTCTTTGGATTTAAAAGACAATTTGAACTGAACTTTTGTATATCATATTGCATATTTTGTTTTTTTTTGGGACTTTTTGTTCATTGTGAATTCATAGGGGGGTAAATTAAAGGGATATACAGCGTACGGATCAATAACGTACGCGTTTCAGCACAGAGCCTTTATCAGCGCTTTGTTTGTCACCTATTTTCTTTTTGCGCTCGTGCACCTGAAGTTTTATTTCTGTTTGAGTGTGCTCCTTTTTTTCTGTTTTGAATTAGGCCTATACTAGAACCCACAATGCAACAAGAAACTTTACAAAAATGTGGACTACAAAACGATTATCGATTACATTTTTTTTGTAACCCATTATTATTTATTATTATTTAACTTGTTTGCACCCCTAGTGGGTAACAGCACTTTTCTCTCAAGAATAATGAGACTGCAGAATATTAAATACACGTCTCTACTTTTGCAAATGGAATTAGTCCAATAACATGTAGCATAGATATAAAGGCAAAAACTGTAATCAGAGCGTCAGACTTTTGTCGCCTGCCATCTTGGATATCTTGTGAACCTTACGACCGCTGTTTTCTCTTTACGTCCTGCCCTGCGTCCTGAGACGACCCTCCCACCCTGCTTTATGCTGACATGTTTATTAGATCATACAATGTTTTTGGTCATCGGGTATAATTATCATTATTAATAACTGACAATGAACACAATAACAAAATAAATCGTATTGTTTGTCATGTTTTGCAGTTGCGGCCGGACCCTCGGGATCCGCGAGCTCCTCAATAGGCTCCAAGCTTTCTTTAAGCTCCTCCAACAAGCGGTCCATCCAGGAAATGGAGGAGAGGTCTGAGGTCTTCAAATCTCTTTTTACCACCCACAGCTCCGCTAAACGCACCAAAGACCAGACATCCAACTGGGTCACCCACACCCCATATCACTTCTAGTAACCATCACTCAGAGCAAATATCAACATTTTTTAAGATTGTTCCCTCAACAAAACTAATGTAGACCCCTCCAACATACACAACGTGTTAGAGACATCAATATGTAAACCCATTCCCTACCCGTCTCTTGGCTCTTGTAGCGTCATGTTTACATGTTGTGAACGTTTTGTTAATACCTCCCCAAGCTGGTCATACTCTTTGTTTTGCAACATTTTTTCTTCCCCAATGAATTCTGCACTGTATCTGTCCTCAGTCACAGGTGCTTTGAGAATTGATGCCAGGGTTACTTTATCATCGTTGTCACTCTGCTGCCTCCTGATGGATAGAGTGCGGATATTTTAGCTAACATCTGCAAGGTTTAAATCTTGACTTTACTGTTCAGTTTATCTGATCTGATTCTCCCTGTTTCATGTGACTTCATCTATGAATGAATATGTGTGGGTTATATATGTTTTACCAGTGTAGTCTCCATCTGACAGCAACAGTTGAATCCATTTTGCTGGTGTATTGAAGCAGCTGTATTTTAGGTAGCATACTTTAGCTCTGTGCTCTTCTTCAGTCTTGAGTACCATTGGCTTCATTATTTTCCAAAATGTTGCTTCCATCTTGAACTGTTTTTACTTTTTTTTTGAAGATCTTAAGACATTTTGCAATAGGACCGACAGTCCTATGTCTTTTTTTTCTTTTGTGTGTGCATGGAAAATAAATAAATTTATATTCAATTCTATGGAGGTGATTTTTTTCCTTACTGTGTGTATTGTACAGCATATATCACAGGTAAAACTCTAAACCAGCCACCTTTAATATGTGTTTTTCCCCATGTGATATAAAGCCTTGCTGTGTAATGCTGTCTGTGCAATGAAGAGCAATAATTACCAGTGATGACAGCAGCAGCATCAACTCCCTGTAGTGCCCTTCAAGGGGAAATTCACACCGAAAACAAACTATAAAAAGCTCTCATTATGTATGGCAGGTTACATGTGTTTACATGCAGAGGTGTGAATATGACATCTGCTATGAGGTCAAGTGTTAAAGAGTGCTGATCTGGACGCTCAGCTGGCAGCATCCAACTCCATAAATAAGACTTCAGCTCATTGTCCTGTTGTTTGTTGTCTGCCGAACATATAGTGATGCTCAGATGTCATCTACTAAAGTTGATTGAACATTCAAGTTATTTCATATTTCATTGTAAAAATAAGGCATAAGGAAGTTTATTGTCATTCATGAAATTCAGTATGCATTCTCAATAAATCAGCATAAAAAAACACGAAGACAAACAGCAATATATAAAACAATAAATGAAAACCTTACAAAAAATGCAGCAGCGTACAATTGTGGGTTTAAAAGTAGATCAAGTGTCAGGGCAGTTTGTATTTTAGTCCTTATTAGTTATTTTCAGTGTGAGTGGGAGGGGCAGTGATGGAGGCTACAGCCATGGGTAAAAAGCAGTTCTTCAGCTGTGTAGTCCAGGTTTTTAAAGTGTGGAATCTCCTTCCTGATGGTAGGGAAACAAACAGAGAATGTCCTGGGTGTTTTTTTTTTCATGCCTTCCGCTGCAGGCGGTCCATCTATATCCATAGACTAATGCGTATTCAATAATATTCTGATTTTGTATTCAATCACACCAAGTCAAGAAGATATTTGTGTAGAACTTTTGATGACGTATACTGAATAAATACATTTGAGAGATTTTCTCATTAGTCTATAATTACTGATGCATTCATCTATGATGAGCTATTTTATGCCATACTGATGTAGTCAGGAGAAAAATCAATAATTGTTTTCAAAAGTAGTGTAGGAGACATTTAGAAATTCATGGAATGGACATTTTCTGATAATATACATGTAAACTTCTCAAATTAGATAGCACTTAAGTAAATGTACTGAGGTTTCCCTTTATTAAAATTGTACTGCCTATATAAGGTAACATGAACTAGTTCCAGAGTATGCCTGATAATTTCCCTGTTACGAGGGTTAACGTTCACTCGGTGGTAATACGAGGCTGCAGCCACAAGGGGGCAGCAGATGCAGTCTTCTGACAGCGACTTATTTTACACAGCCGGGCTGTGATCGCAGAGGGGTTCAACAAGGCGGAGTCTGCCTGCTTCTCATTAAATGTAAGTTACACCATAAATAATCCAATCACTGTGGCTGAAAAATCAAATAAACACTGCGTCCTCTTGTCTTCCTCCAGCTGCTCTGTATGACATGTTTTACGTTTGTTGTTTATTTCGATCTTTCAGCGCACGTTGGATCACTGTGGAGGTTGTTTACAAAGAAATAATCTATCAATAATAAGAACCACATAAACCCATGTTAGTTTTTGTTTTTAATTTACCAATTGTTTATAACCATGGAAACTTTGTGTCTTTGAGCAGGCACGAGAAAAACAGATACATTTTACAACCTCCCTTTCGTGCGTTTTTGATTTTTCAGTGGCATTTTTTCAAATCATAAAGGGCAGCCTATCGGTTTTATGTGGCCCCATGCAATTTTTGAGCACAGTTACATTTTCTATGCTTAGTAGATTCTCTCTTAGATTAATTTAGCACGAACTGACCGAAATGAGCGAATGTGATAGGCTCAGTTAATTGTTGCATTATTGTGGATTCGTATTTATAAAGACCAAACATTATAAACATTTTATTAACATGTAGTTTGAAGTCATATGCACTCCATGTCATAGCCTACTTCTCTCTCTTTTTCCCCACAGAAAATAGTTCATCTACAGCTGGTCTTATAGGCCTAAATGCTGTCACATTGGAATATATGAGTTAAAGTGGTCTTAATTAAAAGAAAAATGTTTGCCAAACATAATTGCTTATATTATTTCTTCTCATTATTTGTAAGTGTAATTGTGGGATGAGTCTGTATTATCTGGCAGGTGTCAGGGCAGCAGATCACAAAGGTATAGGCCTGTAAGGTTATTTTCTCAGAACTAGATATGTCAGCTATTCTAAGCCACACAGCCGAGACACTTTGATCCGTTCATTAGTTTAAGCCAAAGTATTTGGGAGATCAGATAACAGGAGCCATTTTAGGCCTTAAAAAGCTTCAGTTGCTTTTGAAAGCAGATTCTTCTGGTCAGCCTGAGGCGAGGTGGCTTTGGGGGGTGGAATTACCTCATCTTGAAATTTACTCACGTCTTTTCTTCTCTCCTTTTCCTTCAGACTTCAACATAAATAACATTTCTACTGATTTACTTATTTTTCTTAACGAAAGCAGATTTAAAAATAAGGTTAACTTTAATTATTTCCCGATTAAAGGTTCGATCATGTGACTGAACATAATATGATTCAAAAATACGAAACTTTATACACTTTACCTACATTTTTCTTCACTCACCGTAATCCATTTAAGTAAAGGTATTGATTAGCATAAACACCATCATCGCAGGCTTTCATTAGGTCAACTTTAGATGGATTGTTTTGATTTATCCCTCTCAGGTGTATTACATGCTTGGGCGCATGCGCACTGCGCTAACGCCAGGTGAAGTCTGCAGTGTTTCCCTCGGATGGTTTCAGTGATCCGCAGCAGTGTGTCAGTGGGATTGTGTGACTGGAGCTCTGCAGATGTCTATGCTGGAGAGGATAGACTGGAGGGTGAGTTAACTCGTGGATTGGTCTCTTATACAGCTGACTTCTTTCTTTTTTTTAACCGACTTACATCACGTTGGGTTTATATTTGTTTTTATCACTTTCCACCATTATCACCTGTTTGTAATGGCGCAGCGCCGCGTCAGCTTTGGAGCAGCACCCAGTGATTCTTGTGGATGAGGGCAGGGCTTAATTCTCAGGAAAACTTTGAGTGATTTAGTTTGAAGATATTCCAAACCTGTTATGGTTAGACACAGGCTTTTAAAAAATATATTATTTTATTTATAATGTATTTATGGCTCACCATTAACAGATGCAAACATACTCAAATTAAAGATGTAGGCTAAAGGCCTACTACGGAAAACATATTAAGGGTAGGCCTATATGTAAACATAAATAGTGGCCTTTATCAGAGGCTATTTGTTTATTTTCAGTAGAATGAATTAATTGCTAATTTTAGGATTATCGGTAAAGCCTATTCAAATATCATATTTTAATAAAGCACATGTGGATACTTCTAGCCCATCTATATCAAAGCAAATTAAAAATCACCAAGCTATAAACTCTGTCATTGATTTGTTTGATATTTTATCCGGCATGGATCCATTTAATCTGTACACCTGACATCAGCTGAGCCGGTGGTCCCTGCAGTCTCCTTATTGTCACGATGAGCATCAGGATCGTTCAAGACAACACCGTCAGTTCAAGCGTGATTAACTTCCTCAAGGTCTGCTCTGTGTCCCTTCAGTGTAAAATAACATTTAATCAGCGCGCATCACAACAAGCCAAAGATCAACACGCAGCCACAGAAGAAGAAAAAAAAAAAGATAATCCTTGTGATCACCCTCGTCCCGTTGTTCTCACTCACAGCCGATCAGCACAGCGTGGGTGGACGGACGCCACAGGCTGTTAGACAAAGGTCTGTCTAATAACCTCACAAATTATAATCTGACATTTAGTAGCCTGCTCTTCAAATGATACAAAACCAATTAATAGACGGACAATATAACGGGCCTAGAGGGCATTCATCGGTGGTGAAGGGACAACATTTTAAACAATTTTAAACAATGAATTTGGAAGTTTTAACAAACAAAATAATTCGTGAAAAAATAATCAAAGTATTATTAACCTATAGCCTATTTATCGTTAATTTGGCTAAAAATAACAACGAAGAGAAAACATCAACAAACATCTTTTGTCTTTGCTTTGGGTTTTGGTGCATATCAAAGCTTCAAAGCAGTGTTGTTTTGGACGTTGCAAAAGCGCCACCAAATATGTAAATGAGGCGAAGAAAGAGTTTTTGTTGGGATCCTTTGAGCTTTAGAGGTTTTGGGGAGAATGATGCTGCTGGGCCCTCGGGCTTATTGCGGTTAGAAACAAACACTTAACCACCACTGTGAAACACCGGCATTACACTGTCACGAGGCTTTTTTGTTTTTGTTTGCCCATCCAAGTGGGGGAGCAGGTATGTATGGATAATTGTAGACTAAAAGATTAAGAAACAATATTTCAAACATATAGGCTAGATAGGGACTCAATGAACATGTCAAACTTTTATTGTCTTGGGCCTACAGATGACAGTAAATGCGTAGCCTATAATAGGCTTAAGTATCCTATACCAAAATAATGTTACTTGTATTTTCAAAAACGAATTATTTTCCCGAAATTATATTGACAAAATGTTATTAACACACAAAAACCACATTACATGTCTATATAGTTTAAATAACTAAAACAAACAGACAAATAACATTTTAATAAACCCTCTTTAAAAATCTAATCAATTAAAAAAAGTAAATTCCTACAACCAACATGTTTCTGTTGTGATAATCCAGACTCTTCGCTTCACTTCTTAATTGTAAAGTTCACTATGAAATTTTAGAACATCTAGATCCGGGCTTCTGATTGGCTGAGAGACACTCCGGTCAACGTGATACCATAAAGCCTATAAAGCAGCAATCCTTCACCGCAACTCTTTTTTGGGGGGGTTGAACTAGCCTAATGTTTTATAGAAAATATAGGCTATCAGACACGTCATTAAATGAAACAATTTAAGAGCAACACATTTACTGGTTATTTAGCGGTACATTTTTCCATATAATCCTATAACATGTTGGCTACAATGGGTGTCCTTCAAATTAAAAAAGACCAAAAACAAACACTGTTTAACAAACTTGCAGGTGAGTGATTCACTCTGTAATGCATGAAAAGTGGAATGATAGTTAAGTCAATGGGTTTACACGTCTGACACGGTAGGCCTTGCATACATACGGACAGAATTTTCATTGGCTGCTTATCCCGCCAATCAGCAGTATTTTCATTTTTCCTTTTCACTGACATCATCTGGAAAGGTGCCGCCCACTCGGAGCGTCTGTGCAGATATAGTACAGTCAGTTCTCATATGCTCCAAAAAGACTGAACATCTCTCTTTTGTCCATAAGAGGGAGTCAAGTTTCTTATATGCGCCGCTCTCGCCCACTTCCAAGGCATAACTACACAGGACGTTGGCCGGAGAGGGGGGAAATATTGGTTGACAACGATTATTTTCTCTGATTGTGGCTGTGGGAACTCATATCTGCGGTTGGACTGTCAGTCGCTCGGTCAGATCGCCTCTTCAGTCGTCATCCAACAAGTAATATCCTGCACCACGTCGATCAACGAGGGGCCCCTTGTTCATGAGCACCAGGAAGCTCTTATTCTTTCTTTACCTGGATTAACTCGCGAACGGCAACTTTTAAAAAAATATATTTTTCTTAAATTATTTTTTCTTTTTTCTTGGAGGGTCTTTTTTCTCTGTCACAATGTTGTGGAAATTAGCCGACAACGTCAAATATGAAGACGACTGCGAGGTGAGTTTCCAAAACAAGGAAAAAGTTCACTTTGAAGAACAGGGAGCAAAAATTTGCAATTCAACGTCAAAGTGACTCTGGGCTGATTTTATCATGTGTTTATAATACGTTATTATGAGATGACAAGGGATGATAAGGAAAACAGTCATAAAAACGGGTTAGGCTAACTGGCAACAGCAGGAGGACAAGAACTACAAAAAAAAAAAAAAAAAAAACTTTAGGGGGGAAAAACAAATTAAGTTGCGAGACGCCTACGACTGTAAAAGGAAGATGCAGTTTTTTCAGAATAAATGTATGGGCTTATAATGTCTATGACAACAATAACAGAATGATAATATAACCTGCATGAAAATAGTAGCCTAATTAAAAAATAAGTTTAAGTTTTAGCCTAATTTTTAAATGTGGTTAAACGAACATATAACATTTTCATAGCAATGTATCAGCAAACAAAACATTTAAATTTCTGGTAAAATAAAACTAAAAAAAAAAACCCGATTATTTCCCGTGCCTAATAATTGATAAAATAGCCCATAGGCCTACATTCATCCAAATGTATGAGTTAAAACTATTCACCGCCTTCTTTGAACAATTATCCTCTGTGAACAATATGCCAGTGGGTAACACACACTTCACTCCCCTGAGGGACAAATGTCAACACTACCTGCCATCTTTGTTGCACCTTTCTCAGCTGACATGTCTGTTCCATCCCTCAGGAAAGGCACGACGGCAACAGCAATGGGAACCCCCGGCTGCCTCACCTGCCAGCGGTCAGCCAACACCTCTACAGCCCGTCTCCCTCCCTCTCACACTCGGCCAGTTCGGACTTCCAGCCCCCGTACTTCCCGCCCCCTTACCAGCCTATCTCCTACCCTCAGTCCAGCGACCCCTACTCCCACCTCGGCGACCCTTTCAATATCAACTCTTTGCACCAGTCGCAGGCGTCGAACCAGCAGCAGCCATGGCCTGGAAGGCAGGGTCAGGATGGGCTCGGAGCTCACTCGAGGAGCGGGTTGGCGAGTCAGATCCTGGGCCTGGAGGGAGGCTCGTCCGGGGTGAGGAGGGAAGGGTTCCGCCGGCCGGAGCTGCTGCCCCCGCACGCTCACAGTATAGACTCGTCGGTTATTGGTGATAACATGGGGATGCACGACATGGGGCACGGGCTGGAAGATGTCCAAGTGAGTGAATCTGACTGAGAACAATACTTACAGACTAAAACACTAATGGATACTGCTTAGGCAGGCAATACAACTAAAGTTAACTGGGCTACCTAACATACTTAACTTTCTGTCAAAGGGGGTCATTTTTGTTTTAAAAAAAAAAATCACCAAACGTCCCTTAATAAACTCCTTGAACTTGATGTTTTTATGTTAGAATGAAATACTATATTGTTTTTATTTTTACATGAATGTGGAAAAGAAAGAAAAGGTCATTTAGATCAAAGTTTAACATTTGGAAAAAATATAGATGCTGTCTTTGTCTTATATTACGTTTTTAATGCAGTGCATATGATTGTGTTTTCCTTGATGAGTTCTCTGTATTTATTTATTTTTTAACACAATATAACAATATAAATGTTTATGCCATTTTTTTATAATTGTGTTTAGCAACAATGCGAGTGATTGCTAATTGCTATTTCTTTCCTTTTTTTATCAGCATGTAGATGACCACAGTATTATTATGGCAGATCAGACAGTCATCAAAAAAGGTGAGTTTACTACTTGTTTAAATACAATCTTTAGAGCAAAAGAACTGAAGCTCTTTTGGTTTGAGAGAAAAGGGGAAGAAAAAAGTTGCCGCCTGGGGTACATGTGCCTTTGTACAACCAAATAAAGATGCTGTAATTACTGGCAAGGGCTGGAAATTTACCGTAAGCACTGTGTTTTTTTTCACTCTCCACATACTTGGAATTGTCATAACAATTACTTCTATAGTGGCATGTCAGGGCACTCAGTGCATGAGTGGAACACAGGAGGAGTCTTGTATTTGTACTTGCACTGCATACACTGATAATCCTCACAGCCACACGATGCACTTATCTAAGCTTGATATGATCCAGAGCCCATTCTGTTGGTGAAGGTGTTTGAATGGTTGCCCAGTGGGGGAAAAAAAGTGATTCTTTTCATAAACGACAGGCTATTGACAAGACACGAAAATTGAGCAATCTTCGCCGTTGACTGTGAGAGAAGAGGAAAGCTTTGGATCATCATTGGGCCGGTTAAGCTTGCAAATGCTGCGCTTTTCAGTCCACGTTAGCAGGAAATTACGAGTTGATCTCGCCGCAATGTTTGGCTCTGCGAAACCAGCTTTTGGAGGGGTGTGGCATTAAGGGTTTGCATGTGAAGGACAGTTTAGTAATTTGTTGGGACATGAACTGTTTTGCAGGAGAACTTATTCCTGCTGTTTTGTCATCAGGGCTCCATTAAACGGCCTTTGAGTCAGAGAGAGGTCAGCTTGAGAAGAATCCTTCCACTTTGGTACATTTATTCAAACCATGCACAGGATTTAGTGAGGGATGAAAGATAAACGCATTTATTAAATCCTGTTAAAACTCGTAAAAATGTTATGTAATATTGAATCATAAAAGGTCGATTTTCAAAGCAAACCATATGCCTTAGCTTCTCATTATCATGCCTGACTATGTTGGTGTTTTATTCAATTATTGTGTGATTTTTTAAACTACATGCAGTGTTTTCTGTTAAGAATGACTATGAAAAAGTTTTACAATCCTATCCTCCTATTTACCATGTGCTACGTAAATCAGTGATGGCTCATTATATTGTGCACATGCTTAAGGGCACGCTATGGGCGATTTAGGTTTTCCATTTGTAAACAATGGCATGTCATTCCCAGCCATGTGCCCCAGAGGAGCTTTAAAGTACTCATGTGATTCTGTGATTTTTGTCTCAGTATTAGGACTGCGAGGTGGCAGGAACCTTGATCGCTTACAGAGGACTTATTATCAGGGGGGCATTCTTGCGGGTGAGGATGAAGATAGCTGTGTTTTGTAGTGTGCTGTACTTGTTTTGTTTGTCCGATGCTTGTCAGTGCTTTTGTTGGGGGGGGGGGTATTAAAATCCGTCTAACTTTAGATCACAAAAACACTAAAAATCCAGGGCCTGTGAGACCAACTGCAAAAACAGTACTGAGGTGTATCTGGGGCTTAGATGAGAGGCAGTCTGTGTGTGTTTCTGTTTGTGGAAATTCAGCTGTTAACCAGCCTATGTTTGGAAAACCACACAATATATTTCTAAAAGTCCAAGGCAGACACTGGTTTTGTCAGTTATGCAGAGCTGTACACACACTCTTCCTCGTGATAATTTACAAGAAAACACAGATTCTCTTTTTGCTCTGAAAGGATTATAACCATTAGAGCTCATGTACATATACAGAAAAGTGCATATATAAACACTTTAATTGCAAACCAGAATTTTTTTTTTATTTTCCTCTGTACATCTTCATGATTTAGCTAACCTATTTGTTCCCCCCCCCCTTGCCCTGCAGGTCCTGTCACTCTACCTAAAGGCAACACGCTGGGTCTTCCTTTCCAGAAGGAGTCCCTGCTGGGAATGGTATCAAACCCCACGGAGGTGTTTTGCTCGGTGCCCGGCCGTCTCTCCTTGCTGAGCTCCACGTCCAAGTACAAAGTCACAGTGGCTGAGGTCCAGAGACGCCTGTCGCCCCCGGAGTGTCTGAACGCATCGCTCCTGGGAGGAGTTTTACGCAGGTCAGAGCTCAGACACTTGAACAGGCCAGGAGGCTGGATTTACTACTGTTTCCAAAGTCCACTACATAACAGAGCGAGAACTGATTCACAAAGTTTCAGGGATGCTAACCACAAACATAATGAAGAGCCCTGGGTTTTTGTTGATGTCTATATTTCGGTTATACCACAGACATACTGATACAAAATGTCTCTGCTTCTGCCTGAAATGGAATTTGGGGTTTTTGCTGTGACTGATGCACAAATATGATAACACAATTTGAATAAAATCCACCCAAAAATCTACTTATCTCAGCCATTATATATATTATCAATTCCTCTGGCAACTACCCTTTTTGAGCTGCAAATATAAACAATGCACTGCCAGAGCAGAATGTAGCCAAAGCTAGCAAAATTTTAGCAGTCAGTGTTTCCGGTAACACATTTTAGGACTTTATATTTACATGAAGTTTAGATAAATATGCTTATAAAACCAAAAAAATGATCTGTTTCTTGATTAAAAAAATCAGTGTAACTCAGACACTCCATAAGGAGTCCAGATCCACAACTTCTGTTCTGAAGTAGGATGCTGTCAGTGTATTGATGATGCAGTGGTGTTATCTCAGAAGTGAATAATCAGACTGCAGAGTTCCCGCTCTGTAGACTAAAACTCAGAGGCTCATGGGAAAATCGTTTCTAAAAGCACAGCTTGTCTCAGTTACTGTAGCTCATCATTTTTTTTTTTTTTTTTTTTTTTTTTTTTGCGTAAGGTTCGTGACATTCTTTGTGTGGTCTGCAATTTTGGTTCTGTGCTTCCTCCGGGGATAGGTTACATCAACACACTTAGTACCAATCTACAGACTCGTGGGCGTTTTGTTGTGCGTTTGCCAAGGGGTTGCAGCATGGGTACGTTTATCCGAGGCAGAGCAGTTGACCTTATGGCACATGTGTTAGTGTGGCAGTCTGCAGTGGGACTGTGAGGTTATAGTACAAACTCAACGCCGCTGACCGGAGCGTTTTGTGCTTGAAGTCGCACGTTTGCCACTTCCCATGTGCCTGTGTTAATGCTGACATGCACACACTCTCACACACACACGCACACACACACACACACACACGATACTACACTTTTTTAAGTAGGTCATATAGCAATAGGAGGCGAGATCGTTAGCAGAGGGACAGAAGGGAGGAGGGGGTAATGGGGGGTGAGGACACTCGTACACACATGCCTCCCTAAAGATGCACCCGCCATGGAGAGGCAGAGCTCGCCAGCCAGTCAGGCGGAAAAAAAATCCTCCTTGTCAATTGGGGAGTTTAACCGTTCCTGCTGATGTATACAAGTGATTCTTCAGCCATTTTTATTTGAGTTGAATCAACAATTTTGTCAGTGTTTTTTGGGTCAGGGAAGCCTGTTTGATGAGTTCATTTGTTATCAAGCGTGCTCAGTAAGATATTCTACAGGAAAGAATTAACAGCCTCATGGACATGTTATTTAAGTCAATTCATTTCAATTCAAAAAGACTTCATTGGCAGGAAAGTTTCTTTTTTTTCTTCCAAAAAACAAATCAAAAGCAGCAATAAAATGAGATTGAAATAGACAATATAACACCACAAACTGTTTAAATATTTAATTCAGCATGTTCTGTAGTGTCTGAATCTTAGGGAAAGCACAATTGACAAAGCTAATGATAAGAACATTTGTTAATATCCTTAATACAGATACTAATGGATGTGAAATAGTCCAGATTACATGAAAAGGGATTGGCACTTTATTGACTCTTTAAATCCACCATCAAATCATTTCCAACGATTTTAACATTTTGTAAAAAAACAGATTTGAATCTTGCATTATTGGACTGTGTTTCTTCTTAACGGTTCAGCTGTTAACTTAGTACCTTTTTTTTTTTCTGTTTCCGTCTGTGCAGAGCCAAGTCAAAAAACGGAGGCCGCTCTCTGAGAGAAAAGCTGGACAAGATTGGGCTCAACCTGCCCGCCGGAAGGAGGAAGGCGGCTAACGTAACTCTACTTACCTCACTAGTAGAAGGTATGGCATGTCACTCAGCAGTGCTTTGCGTAGCACCTTCTCAGGTGTAATTGCTGTTTGCTACGGCTGGAATGTCACTGTAACTGTGCGAGAGCGTCAATCTCATTCTCAGAGTGCATGTGTGTTTTCAGTAGGGCACAGTGTCTCTAAACAGCCAGTCATTGTTGAAATACCCCGTTGTATGACGACAATGAGAATGCTGCAGAGTTTTCTTTCTGAGTGAACGTTGTTTGATTTATCCAAGTTATGATTGGGTATTAGTTGTACTTTGGCGTCCTTTGTGATTCTGTCAAAATCAGAACGACTCAGTTGATATTTGAATGGAACCTGGGCGTCTCTAAAAATAAAAAAGAACGCCGTTTCTCTCAGGTATCTCAGGTGTCTGCATAATGTTAATGTGGCAGAAGATGCACTGACTTGATCACATTCTTTAAAATGACACCGCAAAACAAATATTTCTTAGTCTATTTTAAAATTCAAAATCAAACATATTGATATCGATATCTGTTTTGATACCATGGCAACAAAGAAACAAGCCCAATCCCCCCAATATTGGATAATTTCATGTTCTTAACTATCAAAGAAATGACAATCTCCTGCACTGATCGCACAAATATGTTGCCAATGTATTGCCAATGCCAATTTAGACAATGCTCTCTCTCTCTCTTTTGCTAAAGGAAGATCATTAGTTTTAGTTTTTTGTAAAGTTTTGGTACTTTTCAAAACTTTTGAGCTTCCAAAGAATGCAATTTTTTTTTTTTTTTTAAACACACGGTATCAAAAAGTTAAAGTACGGAAAATGTTGAAAACCTAAATTCTTTGAAAGTCTTCATTGTGTCACACAGCCGCAGCTCTTTACTTGTTTCCTGTGAGTTACGTACTTCTAATGATGACACACTCTACACCCTTCACCCTACCTTGTCATCACACTTTGAATACGAAAAAAAAAACACCATCATACCTTACCCAGGCGGTAACACTTCACTATGAATAGTTATCACTTTAATCACATCCACCTGCCGCGGGCTAAGGTAGAATATCCCCCCCCCCCCACTCTTGCTCACCACACGCTTGATTTTTATAAATGGGCTGACGGTTCTGTGCAGGAGAATGACTGCAGGCTTGTGTTATTTAGAGACCTTCAAAGCTGAATTAAGCCTTGTTATCTCGTGTTCGGCTCGCCAGGAGGGTCTGCTGACCTTAAAGCTTGTGCTTCTGAATAGTCGCCCGTGTCCTCAAGTGATGCGCGTTTCTATCATTAAGCGGTGCTGTTAGGGCCGCGGGCTCTCTTTGATAGCATTTATTTCACTAAGCCCATTATGACCATGCAAGTCAAACCACCCTCAAGACGGAAAATATATTCATCTCTGTTGCTCTCGTGTCCCCGAGCTAGAAGACTGTGTATAGACGATTATTCTGGATTTCAGCTGCTTCACTTCATGTGCCTTGATGCTTGTGTGAATCAGGTTCAAAGGGGGGGGGGGAATAATGCTCTGAATTGATAAATGGCTGAGACCGGCCAGATGACTATTTGATCTTTGACCAGTGTGTCTGTGTAAATAATAATAAACTCTCGGTAAAGACATCGTTATTCTTCATCTTACATGTTTCCTTTCTTTTCTTCTCCTTGTAGGCGAAGCTGTTCATTTAGCGAGAGACTTCGGTTACGTGTGTGAGACGGAGTTCCCTGCAAAGGCGATCGCTGAATACCTGGGCCGGCCGCACGTGGAACGCAACGAGGTTAACTCTCGCAAGAACATGCTACTCGCTGCAAAGTAAGTGTCTGGATGAATGCTTTAAATTTTAATAGAAGCTGACCTGTAGCAAATTAGGACTTACCAAGCCGACATATATAGAAGGTTTACTGATGTGGGTGTTAAAAAGATCACAATATATCAGTGCATGTAGCTAAGTTATTTTCCCCTCCTCCTAAATCATTCTGGTTTTCTACCTTCAGGCAAATCTGCAAAGAGTTCACTGACCTGCTCACCCAGGACCGCTCACCTCTGGGAAACTCTCGGCCGGCCCCCATCATGGAGCCTGGGATCCAGGGCTGCCTCACCCACTTCAGTCTCATCACTCACGGCTTCGGCTCTCCGGCAATCTGCGCCGCCATGACCTCGCTGCAGAACTATCTGAACGAGGCGCTCAAACAAGTGGACAAGATGTACCTGAGCTCTGGTAGCGACACCCAGGGCTCCTCAGACAGTGGGAGCAAATCTACCGACAAAATGGACAAGCACAGGAAATGAGAGCTTGGAAGGAGAATCCTTATGAACTAGAGAAAAACCCTTGAGTCCCTCGATCTTGCCGCCCTGTCTGCCCTTTTTTTTGGACTTTAAAAAAAATCGATTGATAAGTATTGTCATTTTTGAGAGCTGAATTAGCGAGTGTGTGTGTGTACTCGCACTGTTGAATTGATATCAGATTGTTTGAGATAAGAACTTGTCACAGTTTGCTGCAACTCTAGCCCACAACGAAGGCCCGAGTCCTGGTCCCACCTTTTAAGAGGCGTGACACCCATATCATCCTTACCACTTTGCAGTTCCACGCAGTTGCCAATGTGCTGAAGCTACAACCATGGGACCTGCTTTCTGTTGACAGGAGGAGCAAAAGGAACAAAGTGCATACTGTTTTTTTTTTCTCCCTAGAGGACATCATTTCAAGATGAGTTGCTGTGGCTGTGAATTCCTCTCAGCCCCCCCCCCCCCCCCCGCTCTGTCTGGAGGCAAATCCACTGATTTCCTGTGTCTCAATGGACTTGCAATGGACAATTTTTGATGAGAAAGAGAGAGAAGAAAATCCACTTCATTTTTTTGTTGTTTTGTGCTCGATTTGTACAACCACTTCAAAATGGCTCCAGTGTTATTGTGCTTTGTTCATGAGAGATGATTTGAATCTTATGTAGGCCTGAATGAGAAAAAGACGATTTTTGGTTTGTCGGTCTGTGTTTGGTCAGAAACCAGAGACTTTAAAGCCTCTTCAGTGTTCATGTGGATAACAGGCATAGCAATGCTTCCATTGTTGCTCTTTTAAGCAGCAGAAACTTGTTACTTTTGTGACCATATTAGGTATTTCTCATTCTTAGTATTTAAACCCAAAGTTACCATCGACCTACCCCCCCCCCCACCCCCCCCCCCCCCAGTTCAGCCCTGCTTGAATGTGTGTATGTTGTGAGAGTGTGCGTAAATGTACATATTTCTTTTTTTTTATTTCTTGAAAATGTTTTTAATTAGACATTAAATTCCAAACATAGAATTTTATCCAGTGTCTTGTCCTGGATGTAAATATTTTCTAATTTATGTTGTAATTTAATGGGCTTGTGTAAATAATGGTTTCCCTCTGGTGTATGGTTTCACTTTTTATGATGACGTGTTCAACTTTTATAAATGGGTTAGTTTTTTATCGAGTAGAGGTTAGGAAGTGGGCATGATATACTTTTTTTTTTTTTTTTTTTGAAAATATGTAAAATAAAACTGTTTTAAAGTTTCAGGAAAAATAAAAATGAAATGAAAAGACCCAAGCCTGGTTCAGAGAGTCATTGGTCTTGTTTAGACACTATAAAAAGATTTGCTAGGGGTTCCAAGCATACCGACCCGACCCTAACGGGCTGTTGTACACACTGCAGTCGGTTGATTGAACAAAAGAATCGTCACTTTACATGTGACAGCGGTAATAAAGGACAAACACCAAAAGCGGCATCTCTAAACATCCCTTGGATTTTGAAAGAGTCATTTCAAACTCTTTTTCCTTGCGGCCTGCAGCCTTCTCTCAATTAAAGCTTGTCTTCTTCTTGTGATAAACAGCCACATGCCAAAAAGAACAAACGCAAAATGCTGGACGTGCTCCATTGTTGCCCTTCGTTTACTGTGTCACATTCTTCAGTAGCTGACGCGACTATCCCCATCCTGCTTACACCTCACTTACCAAAGGGTAAGGCTGGCTGGGGAAACGCAAGCAAGATCAGGGTTTATCGTTTCAGACTGTACCAAACTGTACTTAACCAAACCGGACCGCTTGTTCAAAACGAGGCTTAAGTAGGGTGGTTCAAATATGTTGGTACCATTCCCGACTTGTGACAGAGGAAACGCCAATAAATGTGAACCGAACTGAACTGAACTGGACCGATCGTTGGAAATGGGGCTTAAAATACACAATTTCTTTTAGTGCGCTTAGAACATTTCAGCTCACAGATGCTTGTAAAGTCATGTATTGGATGTTTCTTCTATTAATAAGGAGCAAAAGAAATACCCAAACTCAAATGAACAGTAGGCATCATTATTCACTGTCACTTCAGCTTCACAAATAGCCTGTGTGGTTTGGGAAGGCAGAAAGAAACAACATCATGAGATCCACAACTGACAATATGATGGCTTTTTTCTGTTTGTTAAAAAGAAGAGACACATGACACGGGAAAGAAAGATAATTTCGTTTGACATCCTCTCTTCCTGAATATGATATAGTCTGGTGTCTCCACCTCGTTTTATTTTTTCCTGTCTTTTCTGCAGGTGTGCTCTATCTATGCAGGTGTATTCTATCTATGCAAATGTCGTGTTGCAAGTTCCTCTCTGCAGGCGACACTTCCTTTGATGTCTGTGAGAAAAGGAGAGGTGCAAAAAAAACAAAAAAACTGTAGATGGGATTTACATGTGTGGCGCAAGATTGCTTCATCATCACTCCCAGAGCCAGTCTCTGCTGATTCATGTGGTCTCTGTGTTTATGGGTTTCAGAGCTTGCTGCTATGCCAAGTGTCTGAGCCATGGTTTCGCCAAAACAGGGCACTGACACTGGACAAAACGTTGGATTTACAATGTGTTATATTTGTATAATATGTGGAAAGTAATAAAATATAGATACTTGTACATAAGCCGAGTTTTTCCAGTATCTGTGCTTTGCTTGAGAATTACATTTTCTGACAAATCTTTACTCAATCCACCAACATGTCAACCAAAGACCTGTACCTTATACTTCATCTTCAAAACAGGCATTGTTGCTTTATTGCGCTTCCATGATTTTTAATCAATGTGTGCCTTCTTCCCCATAGATTTAAAATGAACTGGCTCAAAAAACAATGCAGAGAAAAGACAACTCCTTGTCCTATCCTTCAGTGCATAACATAAAAAACAGACATGTGACCAGACAGCATTTTTGAAGACATCATAACAGAATATGGCAGCAAGACATTCTCCATATACATTACTTTAAGTATGAAGTAGTTCTTTATAATGTCCAATAAGAGGCTACAAGTCAAATCATTTAAAAGTCTTCTACGGTTCAATTACGTTCACTCAGAAAGAGCAAGCAGAAGTATGCTCTGGGTCTTGTTTTTACCTTTTTATTTTATGTGATGTGATATGTGAGCACATTTCACATCCACAACTTTTTCACTTATATAAGTTTGATCAGTTGTCCTACTTTAAAGTATGCTACTAGAACAAAGACTGTTTGTTTCTGCCTTTTTATGCAATGCACAGTAATGTCTTACACCAATATTTCTCATTATCAGTGCTGCATTAGCTCTATATCCATCTTTGGAGGTCACTAGGTGAAAGCAGTGTTTCACAAAGGCCACACTACATGTTGAGAGAGACAGCAGCACAGCAGCAGTAGCAGCAGCAGAGTGCCATACCTCGCAGTTAAACAAGTATCAGCCTCTCCCCTCAGAACCTGTTCAACCAGACCTGTCAACCTGCTGCTCACTGCAGCGGTTGACTTTAACTGCCTTCAGTTACTTGTGTTAGCTTGTGTGCTCGGCCCTGAGAGAGAGGAAATAATGGGAGGAGGAAGAGGTGGCGAAAGAGAGGGAGGTGTTGGAGGGAGAAAGAGGAGGTGGATTCGGAGTCTCTTTGATTACCGGTTGAACACGGTTGAGACGACACCTCCCTGTGTCTGAGGCTTTGATTGGAGGATATTCCCTCCGTACCTTCTCTTTCTGTCTCAACTTTTTTGTGTTATGTTTTCAGAGTGTCACATGGGAGACCTTCAGCACACACATGTACCATTCACTTTCTTCAACTTTATTGTCATTGAGAGCTTCTTCCTTGAGTTAGTGCTTGTCTGATAAGAATCCAAAGTTTGGACACCGTTGACTGACATTTGAGGCGCTTTTCTAGATCAAATATCGTTCAAGGTTAATTAGATTGGATTAGATATACTTTATCATCCCTGAGGGGAATATATGCCTTGTGCAAAAGTGCAGAGAAATATACACCGCTCTATGCAACTTACAGTAAACAAACATAGCACAAGACTGGACAACCGTAATAGATACGAAAAGACTAAAGGCTAAAATAAATGTAGCACTGTGCATGGACTCGTTCAGCAGGGGCTTCCAACAGCAGCGTGACTGATGTTGGAAGGAACAAGAGCTTAAGACTGTTACTCTTACACTTAAAGGTAACATTTCATATTGTGAGGGCTCACTGATGATCTCCTGTGCCTGTCTCACAACCGATCCTTCAAAAATGGAATTAGGAGACGGCTGTTCCTTCTTTATAATCGCTTTCATAGCTGTTTTAAACACAGTGTCAATTTTCAGATTTTAACTGAACATTTATTGGGCCGTTCCCAGCCGATTACCATACCTTATAATACTTTCAAGTACTGCAGTGTAAAATGAAATCATAGTCTTTGTGCAAACACCAAACAGCCCTCAGGCCAGATCCTTGGTTTAAGGGAAAAAATGTCTTGTTGTGCCTTTGGGTGTCAGAATAGGGATGCAAAAAACATGACCTCCATTTACTATAAAACCTCGTCATCATGGACGCTCTTAGAAACAAATTGCAGACGTTAAGCTGTGATTTCTGTTCTTGCGGCCGGCTAGGCACTGATACATTCTTATAACCGGGAAGCGAGCAGTGTAATAGGATGTTCAGCGTCATGTTGATGGTAAAAACTTAGTCCCACATCTCAACTGGAATGTTTCTGTTGCCACGCAACCTAAACACTCTTCTGCACTCTTGCTATTTTTGTTTGTGTTCATGTTTTTTTTCTCCCAAAGTTAAAGATTGTCAAGGCTCAAGTTCTTAAAGATATCCTTTAAATCAGTGGTTCTCAATTGGTCTAGCCTCAGAACCCACAACCAACTCCTTAATGAGAAATCGCAAACCAATATTTGTGGTATTTTGTATCCAATGAAATGTATTTAATGAAAAAAGGGGCAGTTTGGACCTCAAGCTGTTTAAAATGATGTAATACCACAGAAGAGACAGAAGAAAAAAAAACATTTCAAAAGTGCATCTTGCTGTTTTTGACACTTTTTTTGACCCACTGAAAACAGCTCTGCGGGTTCCGACCCACCTGTTGAGAACTCCTGCTTTACATTGTTTTCTAGAGCTTAAGTTACATAAAAATTAAAGGTAAAAAGTAGGAAATTGTTCCGTTCTCAGGAC